ACCTATCTTTTATTCTGAATTTCTGCTGTTTATATATTTGAGTGTTAAATTATCCTTGTTTAGTGTGTGTGCCTCCTTTTGATATTAAAAGGACACTCCTTTTTAACAGGAATGCTAAAAGAACACTGCTGTGGTTCCTTTTGATATTAAAATGCCCATTCTTCTAAGAAATGCAAGTCACCAGAGATGTTATGTCTTTTTGAATGTATTGACAATATAACAACCCTATGTTAGATCCCAAACTGATTTTTTGACATTATCCTTGTCTGTGAAACCTTAAAGTAAGAGGAATAACTACATTAAGGAGATTCATTGGTTACTAACAGAAAACAGGTACCTAGCTCATGGGACAGTAAACTGATAAATTGGGTGGGAAGATAAGAATGCCGCTTGGCTTGGCTGGGGCCTAAAGGGGTGCTGTGTGGGGGGAAGGAGCCAGGAGACTCTAGAAGCCTGGATGGAGCACTGGGCACCAGGGGAGACAGTGTTTCAGGGAGTAATGGGTGCTGAAAGGCAGAGTGTCCCTGAAGATTGCTCTCCTATTCACAGCTTTGGCCAGGGCAAACCCCCAGGCACCAAACATTCCATGGGCAGTCTTTAAGATGGCACCCAATGATGTCCTTCTTTGCTCTCTGCATGAATTTTGATTTCTTCCCAGTAACGAGCTGATGTGAGATGGACTTTGCAGTCAGTCATCTTGCACACAATTCCTCTCCGCCCCCAGGTCTCAGAGCAGTATTTCCTAGAAGACTGTTCTCTGTGAGCTCAAAGTTCATGACGAACTCACAGATATTACACCCAAGACATCTGGCCAGCTAGTGATGTGACAAAGTGCTCAGCCACAGGCACTGGTACAGCTGGCACTGTGTCAGGAGCTGTGCTCCCTGACTCTCAGTGGGCAGGAAGTGGACAGACGACGCCGGCCAGGTGGGCTCCACCGAGGAGCAACAGGGGGATCTGCAGGTTGGTACATGAGAAGGCCTGGATGCATCACAGAAGTAGTTCCAAATGGTTATCATTATTGCTACAGACTTTGGGCAGTTGCAGGGGTATAAAAGCGTAATAATTTAGAAACAAAAGAAAAGACACATCCTAGTGTCCATATTAACACTAAGGCTATTTTTGAGAAAGGGAACCAACTCCAGCCTGAGGCAAAATGGTGGTGAGTGTGGCCAAGTTCGTTTCTGGTCCATGGCTCTCCCTGCTTTTGCCACTGAATTAGTTATCCATTATTGGAACAAATTATCTCCAAACTTAGAGGCTTAAAACATTTATTATCTCACAGTTGCTGTGGGTCAGTAGTCCAGGCACAGCTTAGCTGGGTGCCTCTGGCTCGAGGTTGAGAAGTTCATGAAGCTTATGAACTTTTAGTCAAGCTGAGTTGGACTGAGCTGGAAAATCCACTTGAAAGTTCTCTCACACGGCTGTCGGCTGGCCTTGGTGCCTGGGTTCCTTGTGACGGGGATTCTCCATAGGCTGCCTGAGAATGCTCACGGCATGGCAGCTGGTTATCCAAGAGACACAGAGCCCAACAGCACTAAGACAGAAGCCACAGTCTTTGTACAACCTAATCTCAGAGGTAACACTTCATCACCCTTACCATAGTCTATTCATGAGAAGTGAGTTACTGGGTCCAATTCCTACTCAAGGAGAGGGATTGCAAAAGGGTGTGAATACCAGGGGGCGGACATCATTGGGGGCCATCTCAGAGACTGCCTGTGCAGCTACCCTCCTTATCTTCACATTCAGAGTAATAATGGAAGACACAACGTAGTAGGGTTCGTGTGGGAATCGAATCCAATAAGGAGTAAGAGAGGGCTTTGAAAACAGAGGCCCTAGAAAGGCAGTGTGATCAAGGGGTCCTTACCTCACTCTCAGATCAAATTCTGGAGATGAGTCCAGAAACCTGCATTTTCACAGTGTCCCAGGCATGCTTCAGGCACACCAAGACTTAAGAACCACTCATAAAAATTATTTTTTTCCTTCTACTTTATAAATTGGGAAGAAAAAAAAGGCAGAGAAATTAAGTGAAAATGAGGTGGAGGGGAGGTAAGGGGGGAGGTTTTCGAGCCCCCAGCTCTTCTTCCTGGGCCCTGTCCTCTAAGTACCTCTCTTGGGTTGGGTCTGTTCTCAGGGGAACTGTTAGTTGGTAGAAATGCTGGCAATACCAGTTCCGTTTCACAAACCGAACCTCACTGGAGCCACGCCCTGATTCCTCACTCAGGCTCTCCCCACCATTCAGTATGATCAATATCTCACCCTCCACAATGATCTCCTCCTGCCCTACAGCAGCCTAGGAGGCCAGACTTCTATGACAGCTCTTAAAACAACAAATATATTTGGCAAAGGACTCTGGCCTGGCAAATACATATAAACATTTTTTGATTAGCAGTAATACACCTTGAAACCTCTCTTGGCTTTCTCCTGTCAACAGTAAACACTCACAAAGCAATGCCCTTCCAGGCCAGACAGAATGATTCTCAAAATATTTCCACCAATAGGTAGTCTCTTATTTAATCCCTTGGGCAACCTAATCCTTGTCTCAACTCTCACCATTATTTATTTTATATATAACTGAGTCTTTTCTGTTATAATTCATAGCCTTTTCTCTCGTTCTGACCTCAGGAGAAATGAAGAACAGATGCTCACACAGCTTTTAATAAAAAGCTTCTTATTAAGTCACTGCTCATCTTTGTCCTCCCATTGCGGGAGGTGGGGACACAGGTTGCTGCTGCTCTGCTCTTTCTGCTTGGCTCTGCTTGGCCCGTATTTCTGTTAACTTGGCCTGTTTTTGTCTATGAGTGGATCAAGACCATAAGTTATATTCAGGTCAGTACAACTGGAATAGCCTGGTTTCTTTTTTACAAATTCTACCAACAAGGATTAGGTTCTAAAATGTGATTCGGCTTAAACAGATGACATTTAAAAACTGCAATCAGTTTTTCCTATTGCCACTTAAAAGTCAGAAATGCAAAAGCTTTGTGAGCCGGCTTTTGATTGCTTTAATCTGATATGACTGAGTTTGCTACAGCTTGGTTCTATAATCATCTAGAATTAAAATCAGATAGTGTTTTTCTCATTTTTTTAATCACTTGCATGGTAAGGTCCTTTGAGTCATAGAGCTAAATTAATAAGTATTTCCAAAAATTGCACATGGGACTGAATAGTCTTCCAAAGCAACTCTAAAATTAAGTTCATGAAGGACCTGTCATTTTTATCTATTGTTTCTTTATGATATCTTGTTGGAAGGGGGGCAAAAAGAGAGTCCCATTTTACAGAGGGGGCCCTGATATAAAGAAGTTGCCAGAGGTGACCCACTAAGGCTGCAGCAAATCTGGACTAGAACCTGGTCTCCTAGCCTCCAGCCCTGAGTTCTTTACACTAAATATCATTCTAAAAACAACACTTTTCAAACTGCATTTCTACTCACACATATAGATTTGAGGACACTATTTCTGTTTTGTTTTCGTTTGCATTCTCAATGCTGAACATTTACTAAAATTACATCACCACAATGGTTATCTAAATAACAAACAAAACCCTGTCACAACATCTGGGGAAATTATCCTCAAAATTTCACAAGCCCTATGCCATAAAGAAAACTTCCTATGGTGTTCAAGACTAAGTAACATGTCCCGAACAAGCCCTGAAGAGAAATGACAAAGCCATCTTACTCACAGGTGGAAAGAATCATGGCTACACCTCTGCAGAGAGTATACAAAACAGTCTTCAATTCTTCAGCGGAGCTCCAGTCACAAAAACACATCTTTCAACTGAAATCATAGCTCACCCAAAACGTTTCTCACAGGCAAAGTTAACCCCACCTATTTTCCTGTTCTGAAAACCTCAGAGAGGTGTGCGAATGACAACCCAATGCCCTATATAAGAAAGCTCGATAATCTGCATCCAGATCTCTGAGGGTGGTTGCTATTAGTTCCTCATTCCCAACTGTGTGGGTGACTCCAGCAAACAACATTTTCAAGAAATCACCAGATTTTGGTAAAAGGGACCTTAAAAGTCATGAATTCAAACTACTCTGTCTGGACAGAGACGCAAATGGAGGTACAGATAGGATAAGAGATGCAGTTAGTGGTAGAAACAGAATTCGATTCTAGGTTTTGGAGAACCAAGTCTAGAATGTTCTGTCCTCCCACTCAGTACTGACACTAGGGATTTATTTTTTGGCGGGGAGGGAAAGCCAATCCAATAATACACCTAAAACGTGACTGAGGCATGGCCGAGAAATATAAAAACATCATCATCAACAATAAAAAATGCACTTAGGAGTTTCACTTTATCCCATGGGAAAATATAACCAAAAATTAGCTAAAACTAAAGAGAACAACTCTAATGAAGACAGCACACTTGCATTGCCCTTCCTATTTCCTGCCTTATAGATTATGATCTCTTGAAGCATTCTGGGTGGACTCTTCTCTTTTTACTTCACCTTTTGCCTTAGCTATGCTTTTATATAAAAACTTTTTTTTAAGTTTCAGTAAAATATTCAAAGATTTTTGAAGAAAATGTTTCCAAATGTTGCCAAGTATTATCTGTCTTGTTTTCCACATCGACAGTCTACCTAACTGTTAGTGAGAGGATTACACTTTCTCCTCACTCTCTTCATCGCCATCTGGCAGTTAGAACACAGCTCAGCAAGGTGAAAAGGGAAGTATCGGGTGGGACGGGGAGGCAGGAGGAGTCAAGGTGAGGGAGGAAGGAAGGAGAGAAGTAAGGTATAGCTCGAGTATGACCAACGCCTTGAATGAGCTACAATTCAGCTAAAAGGTGTGTATGTTTTTGTGATGGGATACAGTTAAACAAGACGACGAGGAGGAAGGTGGCAAACAGACTATGACTAGACTTAGGATAAATATTTTATTTTTTCCAGTATAAGGGAGGATAGAAGCAGCCTTTGGTGGATGGATGGACCAGAAGGGAAAGAGATGGTTCTCTAGCGTCATATAGCAGGCGTTGATCAGAGCAGCCAGTAATAGTTGTGTGTTCACACAATGCTCCCCCGCACAGGTGACACCATAGCAGTCCCCAGAGCAGACAGAACTCCTGAAGAAAGGCCCCACGTCTTCCTCCGCTTTCAACCCCCACAATATCAAGAACAATGTGTGGGGCAATACACAGCCTCTATTATCGATGACAGAGACTGTTTCTTTTCCCTGGGCTCATGAGGAAAAATGAAGGCTCTAACCCAGCTGTTGTCTTAGTCAGAGATTGTAAGGGTCAGAAACTTACTCAAAGGAACTCGATCATGGGGTCTACTGTGAGGCTGCAACAGATAATCTCGCTGATCCAGGAACCCAAGTCCAACCAGGTCTCCTGCAAACGATCTGGGAGACAGCTCAATACACCATGCTCTCTATTTTCCCTGGTCTCTCTGCCAGAACTGGAGCTTGCTCTGGGGCTTGCCTGCAGTGCAGGCAGCCTTTGTAGTGAACGTCACCTGATGCTTCTGCTCCAGAGCCCAGCACCTCCACTTACGGCATCTATGTCCTGGGGCAGATTCTTAAGACGTCGAAACGGATTGATTGCCCCTTCTTCAATTTTCCACCTAAATCCAATTAGCTGTGGACACCATGGGCAGGATCACTTAGCCCAAACATGGGCCCTGTTGGGGGCTTAAGCTGGACAGGCACCCCCAAACAAGTCTACCTAAGTAAGGAGGAGGCATTAGTGATAGAAGGGTCTAGACTTTTCTCTCTTAAGTAAGGAATATTTGATCCCCAGGGGAAAAGGAATTGGCAGCTATAAGGCTCAGTCTCTAGTCCGAAGAAGGTTAGCTCATATATTACAGAATTAAAAGTTTCAATTAAAACACAACTCATGTTTCTTATAAATATATAACTTTATATATTATATATATTTACAATATATACAGCATACAAATATTTTTAATGTAATACTAATGGTAGTCTTGAAAACAGATGTTTTCAAAACAAAAGATAGGTACTTATCCAAGGTGGGTTCCTGATTCATTCAGAACCCATATTCCAGGCAATGCCCCAGACCCCGATTTCTCTAGAAGTCAAAGGGAAGAGGGGGGTTGTTGGAACATGGCCCTAATGCCCTTCTCCTTCCCAAATTCCCTGGCCTTCCATTGGCACCAGCTAACATGCCCCCATGTGCATCCCGAAAATGAGCAAACCCTGGGGCCTGGGCACAGTACCCAGCACATAGTGGGCACTTGAGTACTTGTGGAGTGGATAAAAGTGAGTACTTTTAATCACCATCTCTAAGGCAGCATGTTCCATAATCCAGAAGATTCAGTCACAGCGCTAAGGCTGGTCTAGAAGCAAATGCTTTAGGCGTTTCCACTTTATAAGTAAAACAATCCACACACCCAAGTGCTAAATAAATTAAAAGTTAGCCACAAAGTGCCATTTCTTCATCATGCTTTGGAATCGGGAAGTCACTGGTCACACCACCACTTATCTTCCAAAAGTTTCTTCACACTCGACTAGTTCATCTATCGTGCGCAGCAAATCTTCAAAGGACGGCCTTCCCTCTGGTTTCTGCAATTCAAAATCAAAGAGAAGCTGTGGGTTCCAGAATGCATTCCAAACATAATTTTTCACTGCTCAAACTCAGATAATATAGCATACTAGAGCAAGGTACTCATTGCTTAGGGCCATGCAATGGAACCTGCAGGCGTCTCCAAACGGGTCTAATCTATGCTGCAGGTATTGGTGCCAGACTAACCTCTCTACCACTCTTCTTTTGTGTCCCTGTTCTAGACCCTAAGAGAGCTCCTTACTACCTGCAAAATCAAGTTCTGCTAATTTGCAGTGCCCTCTATGATCTGCCCCTCACCCACCCCACACCCTTGCTAACCAATTTCATTTCCCGCAAAACCCTCGCATGGGCTCTCTGCTCAATCAGACCAATCTCCACCCTCACGTACACACACCAAGGTCATTACCACCCTCTTACCTTTTCTCACGCTATCCTCTCTCCCCCAGCACCACTTCCTGACCAGAAGGCCTCTGCCCATCCCAATCAACGCTCTTCGGAGGCGATACAGCAAGTGACCGAGAGCATGGGCTTTGGAGACAGCCAGGACTCTGCTTCTCTGTAGCTAAGTGGCCTTGGGCAAGTATCAATTTCATGAGCCTCGGTATTCTCATCCACAGAGAGGTCACAGTAAAAGTATCCACACCTCAAACGGTTATTTAGAGAACTAGATCTAAAGCACCTAGTACAGTGCCTAGCACACAGTACATGTTAGCTAATGTTATTATCATCTCTCAAAAGTCATTTTGGTGTTTAATTTCTTCTATGAAGTGACATTTCAACACATGGGGAAGGAAAACTTCCAAAGACTAAAGAGACCTGAGGAAGTTGAGGTTTGGAGACAGAAACCCTCTCTCGTGAAAGAATAATACTTCAATAATGCAAGAGGTCACTGAGAGAAGAGCTACTTCCCTGGGTTTATTCCTTGAGTCCCTAACTCAGGCAACTGTGGCAGGATACCCACTTGGGAGTGGGGCGGCAGCCTGAATTTATGATCTTAATTACTAGCGTTTTGCACTTCTTCTTCCCATTCTTCAGAACTGAGTTGAGAGGGTTGGCTTCCTACCTAGTTTAAAATCATATAAAACATGCACCAACTCATTAGGCTCTAAAGACTACACACTATTAATCGACCAAGCCCAGATCCCTAAATGTTTCAGAGATTCAAAAAGAGAGCACAAAAAATTTTGTACCTCCTGCCAACATCTCAGCATCAACTCATACACATATTTGGATGCCAACTTCGGCCGGTAGAGTCTGTGGCCCCGAGTAACCATGGTTACCACTTCATAGTTGGTGTTTTTCTCAAAGGGCATTCTGCCTTCAGTGAATACTTCCCACATTAAAACACCTGGAAAAGGATAAGGATTACTAAATGATGTATTCACTTCCTCTTTAGAGCAGAGTTGAGGAAAACGGATCATGGTCTTACCAAATGACCAGACATCTGATTTGCTGCTAAAGCGGCTGTAATTAAACACCTCGGGTGGGCACCACTTCACAGGAAATTTAGCACCGGAAGAACTTGTGTATTGATCATCTAGAACATACCTAGAGTAAGACATACCATAGGTTTACACTTCTGAGGTACGATCTGCATTTTGTACATGTTCTTTCATCTTTTTTTCCCCTTAGAATCAAAAACACCGTTGACTGAAGTCCAACGAGCATCCTGTTGAAGCTAAATGTTTGCCTCACAGTGGCCACGCCTGGTGATTGCCATCTTCCTCTCAGCTTCATTTAAGAGCTTGAGATGGATGCATTGTAACATTAGTATCTGCACTTTCATTTTTCTGTTTATTTTTCTTCTTCACAAGGCAATAGAGGCAGAATACAATAAAACAGTTTGCAAACTTTTTTTGAAAGCAATTTTGCTCTTTAAACAAAATTTTACCCAAAGGCACCACAAGTAAAACATCTAAAGCAGAGCTGCTCTAAAGGAAGTGGTGCAAAGCGTTTGGAGACACATATGCTTTTAGCCCCCACAATTCCACAGAGCACAATTTTAAACTGCAGCAAATGAAAAGAGCAAACTGCAAAATGACACACGTAAATGGTGGAGTATAAATTTATAAACCATGACATCACCCCGCCACACATGCACACACACACACACACACACTCAAAACAATATTATATAATTTTTCTATGGGAGCCTACTTAGGTCCTTCTGGAGAGACACACACAAACTGGTAACACTGGCTACCTCTGGGGAGGATCTTCAACTGGGGTGGTAAATATGGGGACTTCAGCCCTTCCTGTAATGTGTTTAGTATGTATTTACAAGAGGAATGTGTTTACGTATTATATGAACAAATGAAGTTAATTTCTAAAAGCTCCATGAGAAAATATTCAAATAACTGCACAAATTTCCTTTGCTGTATAGACAAAGATGGCAACAATGCCACTATGGGCTGGATCAAGTTGTTTATCAGTCAGGGGAGTCTGAATTTAGTGAATAATGAGTGTTTTAGAGGGTTTGATGAAAAAGCACAGATTTTTCTGAAAGCCAAACATGTGCAATTGGAGGACTGCCTGTCAGACACAGAACATCTTCATATAAAGCAAATAAGGAGCACTGGGTAGTTAATGTCCTGACAGTCAGCAGTTCTGGTCCCATTTCTGACAGTAACACCTCCCTGGGCCTGAGTTTCCTTAGGAGCTAAACTTGGCCTATCTGATCTGGTCCTCATCTGCCTTTATAACTGCTCCTCGCACTGGCCATGGGTGACAGTGCCACAGACAACACATCAGTGAATGAGTGAGGCTATGTCCCAATAACACTTTAAGGATGAATGTCTGGATGAATGAATAAACAGACAGAAGGAGGAAAAGAACAAACTAAATACTTTTTAAAGGTCTTTTCTAACACTCTATAACTCTAACACTTGGCCCTCATTCAATTCCTTGAGCAGACCAAGCTTGTCCCAGATTTCAAGCTTTTACATGTGTTTTTCCTTCTACCTGGAATATTTTATCCTCAGATTTTCACCTAATTGGCTACTTCCTGCCTTTTTTGGTCTCTATTCAAACATTCTGGTCTCAGAGAGTCCTTTCAGAGCAAGAGCTCTAAAGCAGCTGCCATCACCCCTGCCCCGTACCATCACTCAACTCCCCCCCAGCAACCAACCCGAAGTTATCTCTATCACAGGGTGGGCACACATTTTGGCAAAGGGCCAGATAATGAATATTTTAGATTTTGGAGGCCAGACTGTCTCTGTCACAACTACTCAACTCTGCCTTTGTAGTGTGAATATACCCACAGACAACACGTAAGTGAATGAACGAGGCTATGTCCAATAACACTTTAAGGATAAATGTCTGGATGAATGAATAAATAGACGGAAAGAGGAAAAGAACAAACTAAATACTTTTTAAAGGTCTTTTCTAACACTCTATTAAAACTACAAAAATTAAGAGAATAAAAACTCTACAGATTTGGGTATTCTAAGAACTTTACCGCCAAACACATTTCTGTGAAAACAAAAGATTCTAGAAATCTAATCCACACCAGGGAGAAAAGAAAGTAGTGTATTTAACAAGCTATACTACCACCTAGTGGAGAGAATTATTAACAATAATTAACACAATGTAGACTTGGTTATTCTAATAAATTTATTTATCTCAGAACAGCTAACAAGATTTCCTTTCTGCTTCATCAGTGCAGATTATTCCCATGCTTATTAATTCCACAAATATGAATATCACATAAAGCTACATAATGAAGCATTAAGCAATCATAATTTCTCAACAGTTTACCCGAGAAAAAGCCAAAGCTAACAGTAAAAAGACAAATTCAGCAAATAAATCTTTCAAAATATAGATAATCTAATTTACTTTATGACCTTTTATCAAAAACACTAAGAATCAGAAAAATCAATTAGTTCCCCTATAAAAATGATGGGTACTATGAATCTTTGCTAACAGAACAAAAGATGTTTCTAAACAGCTCTTTTTAAATAGGCTTCAGAGGGAGAAGCTGACACAAACTGCAAAGAAAAAGTCAGGCTTTCTGTACTTTCAAGGGAAAGCTCACAGTCTTATATTAATTTAATCCAAAATTGATAGAAAATGTTCACATATACTCAGCCTTACCTGGCCATTCCAAAATCAGATACCTTCACAACTCCTGCCTCGTTTACTAGACAATTTCTGGCAGCCTGGAAAGCATTACAATGGTATATTAGTTACAAAGTTCCACAATAAAAATAAGAAAATGTAAGTTCTGTTTATATTAAATTTAGTGCAACCCAGTCAACATTTGCAGAGGTGTCTCTATAAATTTTTTTTACCCCTAGGGAAATGTCTTCAACATATATTTGAAAGAATGGATAGAAAGACAGGTCAGAAGTCATATGTGCCTTCTTTGAATGTTTGGTAGAATCCTATCCTTCTCCAACTCTTCGAAAAAATTGAAGAGGAGGGAAAGCTTCCTAACTCATTCTACAAAGCCAACATTACCCTAATACCCAAACCAGACAAAGACAAAACAAAAAAGGAAAATTACAGGTCAATATCACTGATGAACATCGATGCAAAAATCCTCAACAAAATACTAGCAAATCGAATACAACAATACATTAAAAAGATCATACACCACCATCAAGTGGGATTTATTCCAGGGATGCATGGATGGTTCAACATCCACAAATCAATCAACATGATACACCACATTAACAAAATGAAGAATAAAATCACATGATCATCTCAATAGATGCAGAGAAAGCATTTGACAAGATACAGCATCCATTTATGGAAAAAACTCTCAATAAAATGGGTATAGAAGGAAACTACCTCACCATAATAAAGGCCATATATGACAAACCCATAGCTAATATCATTCTCAATGGAGAAAAACTGAAAGCTATCCCTCTAAGAACAGGAACCAGACAAGGATGCCCACTTCCACCACTCCTATTTAACATAGTATTGGAAGTCCTAGCCAGAGCAATCAGGCAAGAAAAAGAAATAAAAATCATCCAAATTGGAAAGGAAGACGTGAAACTGTCACTATTTGCAGATGACATGATTTTATATATAGAAAACCCTAAAGAATCCACCAAAAAAATTTTAGAAATAGTAAATGAACATGGTAAAGTTGCAGGATACAAAATCAACATACAAAAATCAGTTGCGTTTCTATATACTAACAATGAAGTAGCAGAAAGAGAAATTAAGAATACAATCCCATTTACGATTGCAACAAATAGAATAAAATCCTTAGGAATAAACTTAACCAAAGAGGTGAAAGATCTGTACACTGAAAACTATAAAACATTGTTGAAAGAAATTGAAGAAGACACAAAGAAATGGAAAGATATTCCGTGCTCTTGGATTGGAAGAATTAACATAAGTTAAAATGTCCATACTTCCTAAAGCAATCTACAGATTCAATGCAATATCTGCCAAAGTTCTAACAACATTTTTCATAGAAATAGAACAAAGAATCCTAAATTTATATGGAACAACAAAAGACCCCCAAAATCCAAAGGAATCCTGAGAAAAAAGAACAAAGCTGGAGGTAAGCTGGAGGTATTACACTCCCTGGTTTCAAAATATACTACAAAGCTATAGTAACCAAAACAGCATGGTACTAGCATAAAAACAGATACACAGATCAATGAAACACAATCAAGAGCCCAGAAATAAATCCACACGTCTATGGAAGGCTAATTTTTGACAAAGGAACCAAGAACATACCATGGAGAAAGGAAAGTCTCTTCAATAAATGGTTGGGAAAACTGGACAGCCACATGCAAAAGAATGAAAGTAGACCATTATCTTACACCATACACAAAAATTAACTCAAAATGGATTAAAGATTTGAATGTAAGATCTGAAACCATGAAACTTCTAGAAGAAAACATAGGCAGTACACTCTTCGACATCAGTCTTAGCAGCATATTTTCAAGTACCATGTCTGACCAGGCAAGGGAAACGAAAGAAAAAATAAACAAATGGGACTACGTTAAACTAAAAAGCTTCTGCACAGCAAACGAAACCATCAACAAAATGAAAAGATAACCTAACAATTGGGAGAAGATATTTGCAAACCATATATCTCATAAGGAGTTAATATCCAAAATATATAAAGAACTTATACATCTCAACAACAAAAAAACTAACAACCCAATTAAAAAATGGGCAAAAGACCTGAACAGACATCCAAAGAAGATACACGGTTGGCCAACAGGCACATGAAAAGATGTTTAACATCACTAACTATCAGGGAAATGCAAATCAAAACTACAATGAGATATCAACTCACGCCCATGAGAATGGCTTTAATTAACAGGCAGGAAACAACAATTTATTTTATTTTATTTTTTTTAAAGACTTTATTTATTTATTTTTTCCCCCCAAAGCCCCAGTAGATAGTTGTATGTCATAGCTGCACATCCTTCTAGTTGCTGTATGTGGGACTCGGCCTCAGGATGGACGGAGAAGTGGTGCCTCAGTGCGCGCCCGGGATCCGAACCTGGGCCACCAGCATTGGAGCGCACGCATTAACCACCAAGCCGCGGGGCCGGCCCGGAAACAACAATTTAGATGTGGAGTAAAAGGAACTCTCATACACTGCTGGTGGGAGTGCAAACTGGTGCAGCCACTGTGGAAAACAGTATAGAGATTCCTCAAAAAATTAAGAATAGAACTACCATACGATCCAGCTATTCCACTGCTGGGTATTTATCCAAAGAACATGAAAACACAAATGCATAAAGATACATGCACCCCTATGTTCATTGCAGCATTATTCAAAATAGCCAAGACTTGGTAGCAACCTAGGTGCCCATCAAGGGATGAATGGATCAAGAAGATGTGATACATATACACAATGGAATACTACTCAGCCATAAAAAAGGAGAAATATGGCCATTTGTGACAACATGGATGGACCTTGAGGGTATTATGCTAAGCAAAATAAGTCAGAGGGAGAAAGTCAAATACTGTATGATCTCACTCATAAATAGAAGATAAAAACAACAACAAACAATCACATAGAGACAGAGATTAGATTGGTGGTTACCAAAGGGAAGGGGGGAAGGAAGAGGCCAAAAGGAATGATTAGGCACATGTGTATGTTGATGGATTGTAATCATTCTTTGGGTGGTGAACATGATGTAGTCTACACAGAAATTGAAACATAATGATGTACACCTGAAATTTATATATTATAAACCAATGTTACTGCAATAAAAAAAATAAATCATGCAAAACCTAAAAAAACGTAAATAAAAAAATAAAGTAAATAAGAGCTTGGAAAAAAAAAGTCATATGTGTAATAGGTATTATTACATAATCTTTACCAACTGTCACACCTAAATGAGGACTTATAGAAGAGTCAACCGGCTTTTTCCCCTACCATTTCTATTCTTATTAAACTATCTGATTTTCTTATTGATAGTGACAACATCTCTTGAAGTCCTTAATCCAGGTTCTTGCTAGGTGAGCTTAATAATACACAACCATCAAAGTGATGAGTGAACAATCTATTACCCAGTGGCTTTGCTCAGTGGTTGTTCATCCTGATCCCAGTCAAAAGAACAGTTATGTAACATAGTTTGCTTTGTCATTTATGATGTTTCCCATATATTATAACATGATATACTAAATTGATCAAATACAATTCTGGATTATTTAATTTATATTTTCTTGCCCATTCCTTAATGTTACAAGGTTCAAGAAAATAGTTTGGTAAAAAGACATAGTATTTCTCAGAAGAAAGACATGATAACAATCTTTTTAATGCCATAACCCATGGACTAAGATGTATTTTTCTTCCTAACACTTCAGACTTATATTCTCTGTATGTGGCAATTCCACTTATATGAGGTTATTTCCTACTGAACGCATTTTAAGACTCTCTTCCAAAGTGACAGTTAATGCCCATTTCCTGGATTGCCTCTATCTTTCTTTGAAGATACCCTATAATGCCTTCACTTGATGGTCACCAGGATTCTTCACCCAGGACACAGGAGCATGAGCATCTTCCCTTAAGGGGTGACACAAACCTACCATATAATGTCAACATCATAGGCACAAACATATCAAAACTGCTTTCACCGATATATGGTCTGTGTGAACAGGTGTAGTCTGCCATACTCATGTAGACACAATTTTCATCAGTTTTATAAATACAAAAATGAGGAAGGTGCTTAGTTCACAAGTTTCCATATGACAAAGAGATGTTCTTTATTATCACTGAGCATAATGATAATAATAACTAATGTTCTAGGGGTGGTTTTGTATGTGTGAGAGGAAGATTGGCTCTGAGCTAACAGCTGTTGCCAATCCTCCTCTTTTTACTGAGGAAGAGTAGCCCTGAGCTAAAATCTGTACCCATCTTCCTACATTTTGTATGTGGGATGCCGCCACATATGGCTTGATGAGTGGTGTGTTGGTCCGCGCTCAGGAATCAAACCTGCAAACCCCAGGCCGCCAAAGCAGAGTGTGCAAACTTAACCACTACGCCACCAGGCCAGCCTCACAATAACTAATGTTATATATACCATGTCTTCTATCTTACAAAGTCCTTTGCCCCAATCATATAATGTGATCTTTAAAACAATCTTGTGAAAAAAAAAGCCCAAGACGAGATGGCTTCACTGGTGAATTCTACCAAATGTTTAAAGAAGAATTAACACCAAACCAAAGTTCTCAAACTCTTTCAAAAAATTAAAGGAGGAAACACATCCAATCTCATTTTATTAGGTCAAAACTAGCCTGACACCAAAGCCAGACAAGGACACTACAAGAAAAGAAAATTATAGGCCAATATCCCTGATGAACATAGATGCAAAAATGCTAAACAAAATATTAGCAAATAGAATTTAATAGCACATTAAAAGGATCATACACCATGACCCAGTGCAATTTATCACTGGGATGCAAGGATGGTTAAACATATGCAAATCAATCAATGTGATGCACCACATTAACAGAATGAAGGATAAAAATCATATGATCATCTCAATAGATGCAGAGAAAGCATCTGATAAAATTCAACATCCTTTCATGATTAAAAACTCTCCAAAAGCTAGGTATAGAAGAGGTATACCTCTGTACCTCAACATATTAAGATCATATATGACAAACCCATAGCCAACATCATACTCAATGTGGAAAAGCTAAAAGCTTTTCCTCTAAGATCAGGAACAAGACACGGATGCCCACTCTCATCACTTCTATTCAACATAGTACTGGAAGTCCTAGCCAGAGCAATTAGTTAAGAAAAAGGAATAAAAAGGCATCCAAATTGGAAAGGAAAAGTGAGATTGTCTCTGTTTGCAGAGACAATATATAGAATATATAAATTGACAACATATAGGAAATTCTAAAGACTCCACCAAAAAATTGTTAGAAGTAATAAACGAATTCAGAAAAGTTGCAGAATACAAAATCAACACACAAAAATCAGTTGTGTTTCTATTCTAACAACGAAATATCTGAAAGAAATTATGAAAGCAAGCGCATTCACAATAGCATCAAAAAAATAACATATCTAGGAATAAATGTAACCAAAGAGGAGAAAGATCTGTATACTGAAAACTACAAGACACTGGTGAAAGAAACTAAAGAAGATACAAATAAATGGAAAGATATTCTGTGTTCATGGGCTAGAAGAATTAATATTGTTAAAATATCCATACTACCCAAAGCAATCCACAGATTCAATGCAATCTCTATCAAAATTCCATTGCCAGTTTTTCACAGAAATAGAAAAAACAATTCTAAAATTCATGGAACTACAAAAGATCCTGAATAGCCAAAAGAATCTTGAGAAAGAAGAATAAACTGGAGGCATCACACTGCCTGATTTCAAACTAGATTACAAAAGCTCTAGTAATCAAAACAGTATGGTACTAGCACAAAAAAACATATACAGACCAATGGAACAGAATAGAGAGCCCAGAAATAAACTCATGCATATATGGTCAACTAATCTTTGATAAGGTGCCAAGCACACACAATGGGGAAAGGATTGTCTCTTCAATAAATGGTGATGGGAAAATCAGATATCCACCATATAGAAGAATGAAACTGTCCACAGAAAAATTAACTTGAAATGGATTAAAGACTTAAATGTAAGACCTGAAAGCATAAAAATCCTAGAAGAAAACATAAAGAAAAAGTTATTTGACATGGTTTTGGCAATGATTTTTTTGGATGACACTCAAGCACAGGTAACAAAAGCAAAAATAAATAACTGGGGCTACACCAAACTAAAAGCTTTGACACAGCAAAGGAAACAATCAACAAAATGAAAAGGCAAATTATAGAATGGAAAAAAATATTTGTAAACTATATATTTGATAAAGGGTTAATATCCAAAACATATAAGGAACTCATACAACTCAATAGCAAAAAAGCAAATAATCCAATTGAAAAATGGGCAAAGGACCTGAATACACAGTTTTCAAAAAACATACAAATCGCCAATAGGTACATAAAAAAAGTGTTTAACATCACTAATAATCAGGGAAATGCAAATGAAAACCACAATGAGATATCACCTCACACTTAGGATGGCTATTATCAAAAACACGAGATAAATGTCGGCAAGGAAAAAAAGGTGGAGAAAGGAGAACTCTTGTACATTGTTGGTGGGAACATATATCAGTGTGTAGCCACTATGGAAAACAGTATGGAGGTTCCTCAAAAAATTAAAAGTAGAACTACCATATGATCCAGCAATCCCACTTCTGAGTATATATCTGAAGGAAATGAAACCAGTATCTTGAAGAGATATTTTCACTCTCATATTCATAGCAGCGTTATTCACAATAGCCAAGATATAGAAACAACCTCAGTGTCCATAAATGGATGAATGAATAAAGACAATGTGGTATATATACAATGGAATATTATTCAGCCATAAAAAAGAAGGAAATCCTGTCATTTGTGACAACATGGATAAACCTGGAGGACATTATCCAAAGTGAAATAAGCCAGACAGAGAACAACAAATACTGTATACTATCACCTATCTATGGAATGTAAGGGGAAAAAAAGTGGAACTCATAGAAACAGAGAGTAGAATGGTGGTTGCCAGGGGCTGGGAGGTGGGGGAAATAAGGAGATGTTGGTCAAAGGACACAAACTTTCAGTTATAAGTTTTGAGGATCTAATGTATAGCATGACGACTACAGTTAATAATACTGTATCCTATACTTGAAATTTGCTAAAAGGGTGGATTGTAAGTGTTCTTACCACACACACAAAAAAGGTAACCATGTGAAGTGATGGATATGTTAATTAACTTGATTGTGGTAATCATTTCACAATGTATACATACATCAAGTCATCATGTTGTACACTTTAAATATATACAATTTTATTTGTCAATTACACTTCAATAAAGCTGGGGGAAAAAAGTCTTGTGAGCAAAACAATAACCCACAATTTACATATCTAGGAAATCAAGTCTTCCATTTCTAAATCCTCAACTCTTTATTATGCCCTAAATCTAGAGACAACATAGCACAGTAGTTATAGTGTGGACCCTAGAGCCAAACTCCCTGGGTTCAAATCCTGACTCCACAATTTACTTAACCACTGGTAAATTATTTTAACCTATTTGCACCTCAGTTTCATCATCTGTAAAATGAGAATAATAATAGTACCTTCGTCTTAGGGGTGTGATATGATTAAATAAGTTTATATTTATATATATATAAAATATATATCTACATTAAATAAGTGTTAAATACCTATTAGTGGAATGCCTCTTTAAAGTGATTGTTAAATTTTTAAAAATCCTTTGCTGCTATTCTAGAAGAAATGCATCCATGCTTTACGACAAGACAGTTAAAATGAAAATATGGAAAAGAGTCCCAGGCGAGAATCACATTTTTTTGGTAAAAGAAACATCTTCAAGGTTTAACAGGGCAGTCCTACAACATGCTGAAAATAGACACATTTGGGAAGAATAGGCAGAGAAGAAAAAGAGAAAGAAAAGAAGAATGGAGGAGAGAGGGAGAAAAAGAGAGTAAGAGAGAGGAAAAATTAAGAAGTGTCTATAGGCAGCCAGCCCCATGGCCTAGTGGTAAGTTTGGCACACTCTGCTTCAGTGGCCCAGGTTCAGTTCCCAGGTGCAGACCTACACCACTTGTTGGTGGCCATGTTGTGGTGGCGACCCACATACAAAATAGAGAAAGATTGGCACAAATGTTAGCTCAAGGCAAATCTTCCTCAAGCAAAAAGAGAAAGATTGGCAACAGATGTTAGCTCAGGGCAAATCTTCCTCAGCAAAAAAAAAAGAAGTGTCTCCATCACAATAATTTAGAACCAATGACAGAAGATTACTTCTTCTAGTATTTTCAGGAGTTAACATGGGCCTCCATCTTTTCCCAGTGATTTGAGAGATAAAGAAAATGAACCAAAGGATTTCTGTTATAGTTTCTGCTTACAGTGTATGGGGTGGAAAAGAACTTAGGATTTAATCAAAGGATGAGTCAACCCCTAACTTCCCCATATATCACCATATGCAAGTCATTTTACTTCTCTGAAGCTAATTTTCTTATCTATAAAATAATGACAGTCAGAAAATCTACTATGACTAGCCATCTCATGGGATTATTTGGAGATCAAATAATTAACGCATGGTAACTCACTTGAAAATATCACCTATGTAATTATGTATTATTTATGCAGGTGCCTATGCAATTATGTATTCTATGTATTAGATTTAATAAAGATCTTTCTGTTAAAATTATGGGGCAAGTTAAACTTACCAAGTTTAAAAATAATGCTAAAATATTGTAGAGAACAAAAATTCCATATGAGTATATCATTGCTCAATTGCTGACCCAGTGTTACAAAGGAACTGGGCCAATGAATGGGAATACAGGTGGTTTGTCATTACCAGATCTCTGTGGATAAAGCTGTTTCTCTCCAGGTATTCCATTCCTTCACACACATCTTGACACATGCTCAGCAGCACGTCTCTACTAAAATGACCTTGTCTCTGTCGGAGGAAATTCAGAAGACAGCCCCTTTCCATGAACTCAGTAACAATGTAAATTGGTTTCTGCTGGGTGCATACACCATACAGCTGTACTAACTTCGGGTGTGTCAGTTTCCTGGGAGGGAAGTCAAGCATATACATAGTTACTAAAGGAAAAGAAACCACAAGGGGTATTAGCTGGTGAGGGGCCACTTTTTAATACAAAAAGGGGAACCAGAAAGAACACAGTAACTTACATCATCACTTTAGCTTCTTCTATGAAGTCCTCCTCACACATGGCACCTTCTCTAATAGCTTTGATTGCTACTTTGTACTGAGCTCGCCACTTGCCAAGCCTCACCACTCCAAACAGTCCACTACCCAACTCCCTCATAAAGGTCAGCTCTGAAGGGTTAATCTCCCATTTTTCTGTGACACAGAGGGGGAAAGTGATAAAATTTAATAAGGAGAACACAGCATGAATCAGTGGGAAACAAAGAAACTATAAGCAAGGTCAATCTCCAAGTTACAGGATAACACAATTTCCAGTAAAACACAGAGCAGACTTGCATCCAGCATCTAACCTGCAAAACATGGCTTTCCATCCTCTGGGGAGGAGGCACTCCTTCTAAGCTGTCACAATAAAAGCCAAGTGAACTGAAGAAGGCAAGAAGACGCTGCATAATAGGTTAATAATAAAATAGCTTGAAAGTTACAGGTATTTTTTTAAAAATTCCTCCTTTACCACTCTTCCCCCTCAGGGTTTTGTGTTTTTTTTTTTTTAATTCCATCAAGTTGGAAAGAATTTAACCTGCTGTTTAAAAGGCTTTTTTGCCGGAAGCAACAAAGACAATCAAGTTGGATGCCTTCTCTATTACCTCCACCCGTATTTTCCTGTGAGTAACCAACAAAGCCGGTGAGAACCAGGAAAGGCTTTGATTTATTTTAGATGTAACATAGGAATGCTTATTTTTCACTGACAGCAAGTTTTCTGCTGGATTATGAATAATGATGAAAAACCTAGGTTACTACAGCTGTAAGTACAATCATCTAAAAAGCCATATTATAAACTTATAAAAACAATTCCACTATGTGGAATTCTACACATCTAAATCGGTCTTGTGATAATGGATTCTTTTCAAGGAACATCAGCCAATGCAACTACAAAATGAGTTACCGTAGCTGAATCCCGCAGTGGTTGGTGCACTCTTCTCCTTTGCGCTAACTGGGTACCGCAGCCTTGTGACAAGACCTAGAAATCAGAGAAAGTATTGCAGTCGAATTCATTCTTAATCATTCTGCAGGGGAAAGTGCTACACTAGAAACTCACTCATAAAATTCATTTATTTATTCACTTAGTGCTCCTCCTGTGTGTACATACAGCACTGTGCTATATGCTGGCAGAAAATAAAAAGAGATCAAGGCAGGAAGAAAGAAGATGGTCCCACTCTCTGAGTTGACAATTTCGTATTTTTATGGAACATAAACAATTAAAATATATATATATGGTTTTATTCATTCAACATTTTCTTTTAGATACTACAGTGTTTATCAGGCATCATGCTGGCATATTCTCTTCTCAAACATTTTAAAAGATGTTAAAAGGTTTCTAACGGTTACTATCAATTATTATTTCATGTTCTTTTCCAATATGAGATCTGAACTATGAAAGGGAAATACAGTAGTCTACTAAAAATTAAAGTGATTCACCTGCCATAACTCAGTATTAGTAATCTTAGCATAAAAATCGGGCTCTAAAATATCAACAACTGGGAATACCAACTACTGGAAATCAGTGAGGTACGTTAAATCCTTTAAGTTGCTTACAGTACTAAATAAGAAGAAATGGCAGGTAACTCTCCTATAAACACCCATAGCACTCTGTACATCTATCTCATAGTAGCTTAATATTGTTATACTTCTCTGTCTCCCCCACCAAATGGTAAGGTCTGGGAGAGACAGGATCAACGACTATGTAGTCCACCACAGTCTCCCTGGAACCTGGCACAGTTCCTGGCATGCAATAGGCACTTAACATATGTTTGTTAAATGAATGAATTGAGATAATGGTGAAGAATAAAATTTACACAAGAAAACAAAAGAAAGAACACAGGGTGGGCCGGCCCCGTGGCTTAGCGGTTGAGTGTGTGCGCTCCGCTGCTGGCGGCCCGGGGTTCGGATCCCGGGCACGCACCGACGCACTGCTTCTCCGGCCATGCTGAGGCCGCGTCCCACATACAGCAACTAGAAGGATGTGCAGCTATGACATACAACTATCTACTGGGGCTTTGGGGGGAAAATACATAAATAAAATAAAATCTTTAAAAAAAAAAAAGAAAGAACAGGGGAATGTGAATACTGAAAAAGAAAATAGAATAAGAGACAAGAAAAAGTTCTTTGGGAGATAAATTGATATGAAATTAGTTCCTCTAATGTTAAACACAGAGTTACCATATGACCCAGCAAATCCATTCCTAGATAAGTAACCAGGAGAAATGAAACATGTTTCTACGCAAAAACTCGTACACAAATATTCATAGCAGCATTATTCATAATAGCCAAAATGTGGAAACAACCCAAATGTCCATAAACTGATCAATAATAACAAAAAGGATAACCAAAATTCACACAATGGATTATTATTCATCAACAAAAAGGAATGGAGTACTCATACATGCTACAACGTGGATGGATATCAAAAACAGTATGCTAGGTCAAAGAAGCTAGTCACAACAGACCACATATTGTATGATTCCATTTATATGAAATGTCCAAGAACAGGCAAATCCATAGAGACAGAAAGTAGATTAGTGGTTGCCTGGGGCTGGGCTGGCGAAGGGGGTGTGTGTCGGGTGACTGCTAATGGGTACAAGATTTCTTTTTGGGATGATGAAAATGTTCTTAGATTATGGTGACAGTTGGCACAACTCTCTAAATATACCAATAACCACTGAATTGTACACTTTAAATGGGTGAACTTGATGGTATAAACACTATATCTCAATAACTGTTCCTATCATTATCTGAGAAAAGTGAACAGTCACAAATAACAACAGACTTTGCAAAAGGTGCCTTTGATGAAATTTCAAAAATTAATTTTCATTAATTGAGTTAGGCACTTGGCTATCTCCTGCTCAGTGACATCTTTAAGTCAAAGGCTAAAAATCTTTCTATCTCATCCTGTAGAGCCTCGATGGGCATAAATGTGGTTTCTGTTTTTGTTTTTGGTGTTTGGTTTGTTCCCACTCTGGTGGTAAGTGTAGCAGAGACGTAGGAAGATGGAAAAACTTGTCTGGGACACAATTACTCTAGTCTTTGGAAGTCTATAGGCCTAAACCCTGGGCTCATCTGACACCTTCTGTGACAACTCCGACACAGACATATCTTTGATTTTAATTTAGTATTGTTAAGGAAAAAAAAATATTCAATGACACTTTTAAAGATGGTATGGCAGACTTTATTTAGGTCCATTGTGACAGGCATAGGGACCATGGTGATAGGATTTTAGAGTAGGGGAGAGAGATTGGGCTCAACTCCGAATACAGTGTGGGCAAGTGGAAATTTATAGCCAAGGAGCAGGGTGGGGGTCAGTGGACGGAAAATTACTAAGAGAAACATTAGGGGTAATGGGGGGAGGTGGGGGGGTTCTAGCTAAACCAATCTCATAGGATTCTTGCTGAAGATAATTCAGGGTGGCCAGACATCACCTGGGGGATGGTGGAGGATAAGGAACTTGATCAGATATTGAGAGTGATCAGGTATCTGATATCAAGGGTTGGGGGTTCTGGTTAAACTGACAGCAGGGTTCTCGCTAAAAGTGGAGTTTACAAGAAAGTGCACAGATGGGCCTAAGAGATAGTTCAGGAGCCTGACTAAAGTTTGGTCAAGCAAAGAGTCTTTGTCAGGACCAAAGATACAAATCATAGAAATGTGAACATTTACCACATATGATAAGAATAACTCAAGTCCTAAGGTCAAGATAGCGTTTTTTATGAAACTTGATACTTAATACTTTTAAATCAATCACATTCTATAATTAAGTAAAAAATAAAACTGCTCAAGGAAGAATTCATCACAATGTCTCATCACTTTAATCACTACCTTATATTTGAAATAGGTTTTAACGGGCCGGCCCCGTGGCTTAGTGGTTAAGTGCGCGCACTCAGCTACTGGCGGCCCGGGTTCGGATCCTGGGCGCGCACCAATGCACCGCTTCTCCGGCCATGCTTAGGCCGCATCCCACATACAGCAACTAGAAGGATGTGCAATTATGACATACAACTCTCTACTGGGGCTTCGGGGAAAAAAAAGGAGGAGGATTGGCAATAGATGTTAGCTCAGAGCCGGTCTTCCTCAGCAAAAAGAGGAGGATTAGCACGGATGTTAGCTCAGGGCTGATCTTCCTCACAAAAAAAGAAAAAAGAAAAAAAAGAAATAGGTTTTAACATCTCACTTACCTGCTGCATTGTGCTTATGATATTCAATAATCTCAGGAATTGAACCAAATGCATGTTTTTCTGCCAGATAATACTTCTTTGGGGATGTTGTTGTTTCTTTTATATGGTAATGCCTGAAACCTGATGTGCCTTCCCTATAACAAAAATCAAAATGTGTTAGAACCAAGTTGAAATAATGTAACTTTACTCTTAAGATATTTTCTACCACATAACCACAGAATCCCTACATAGGGCCCCTTCTATTATCTGCATAAATTTTACTTTTCCCCACGTTCTCCTTAGCTTCGCTGTTCACATTAACAGATGGAGTTTTCAAAGCAGCCGCTGATAACAAACGTGGTCCCTTGCATGAGATCATAAAAGAAAACATTTACCAACTCCATTTACCAACAGTTAAGTCTTAAAATAGCTATTAGCTGCCTACTGCTCTGTGTCCCTGGAGTTGGAGTAAACTTGAAAATGTCTAGAGGACTTACAACTCTAAAAGTGACTAAACTAGACCTATAAAAAAATATACAAATTCTATGTTAGATATCTTTCTAGAACACAGATCTTCTCAAATCATCTCTTGCTAAAAATCCTTTCAAGAGAACTCCCACAGCTCTTAAAATACAGCACAGACTGCTTGATGTTGACATAACCCGACCTCCACTTTTATCTCTCAGGCTTCTCTCCTCCCTTCACCCCACCCCTCCCATTCTACAATCCAGCTACAATACACTTTTGTCAGTTGTGCCAACTCACCATATCCTCCCTCACTTCTGGGCCCAGGCAGTTTCCTGGATCAGAAACACTCTTTCCCCTCCATCCAACTTTTGCCTGCCTCCCCTGTCATATCTCAGCTTAGATATCATTAGACAACATTAATAACTAACCCAGATGCGTCTGGGCTATGTACACCCCACCCCCCCGACACATGCACACACATTCCCCTCCTAGCATAGCACTTACTCATATACTACCATAACTGCCTGTTTGTCTGAAGCCCCCTCTAAACTATTGGAGGGCAGAGTCTGTGTCTACTTTGCTCACTGTGGTATCCTTAGTGTTCAGCGCAGTGAACAGTAATTATTTGTGGAATGTTGCCAAAGTTTCTATAGCCATTCTCAAAAAATATATATATGGAGAACTATGAGAAAAAATACTGAAATGTAAATATGAAAAATAGAATAGACTTTAGAAATCAAGTTCAGGTTTTCTTTTTTAATGCTGAAATGCAGAACACTTTTTGAAAATTAGGAATCCATACAAACTGTATATGAACTTTATACAAAAACTCTAAATAAATTGAAAAAAAAGGAGAGAGTGGGACTACTTACCCTCCAAATTTTGTATACAGGGAGACTGTGTACATGCCCGGTTGACTGGAATCCCTTACCATAAAACCACCTTCTTTATCCTAAAATCGAAGTTAAGAAAATTCTTTTAATCCAATAACAAATATCAATGCCACGGAGAAGATTCAAGAACCCAATCTTATGATTTTATGATTATTATCCTTTGCCTAGAGAAGGCTTTGGAGAAGCACAACTTACCAACAGGGCGCGCCCACATGACTCTCCACACTTCACATTACTGGGCCATGAGGTTAGTTAAAGAAGCACACTCACAATTCCCCACAATCACAAATCTTCACACACACCAGTATGAGACGTTTCAACAAGAGAATCTCTCAGGGCCCTTCTGGAACTAGCAAACAAGATTTTGCAATTCCTTTAAGTCCTGGACACGTGGGGAAACAGTTACTGAAAGATGTACTGCTTAATGATTGGGTTTCATTTTATATATTTTTCATATTTGCTATAAGCTTTGAATCTTAACTCAATATTATCTTCTATCCACACGGCATTTTTCCCATAAATATTTCAGTGCTCTTTATAAGAATTCTTTTTTTTTAAAAAAAAATCCTTAATCCTCCTGCAAATCGATGTTAATATCACTCTTTACAGAAGGAGAGAGAGAGGCACAAGTGATTTCAGCAGAGAAAACCAAAAGGCAGAAACAATGCTGAATGACTAAAAGATAAATCCTCATCAGGTTCCAAGCCAAAGAGCAAGAAACAAAAGCTAGGAACCACGTCTCTACCAATAACACCACAATCAGTCTCCAGCACTGAAACTGCTTTAAGATGAAAGTGTGTTTCATAGTTGAAAAACAAAATAAATTTTATTCTTATTCATAGGAAAGACAACGGAATTAAATAAAGCCCCACAAATAAATCTGATAAGAACAGTTAGGGAAAGATCATAATAGTTAATTGATCAGTAAAAAGTATAATAGCTACCATATGTTTATTGAGATTTTGTTTTAACCTGTTCTAATATGTGGATTTACTTAATCCTCAAAGCAGTCCTAGGAGGTAGGTACTACTGTTATCCCCACTTTACTTCACCGGTAAGGAAATGGGGCACAGAAAGGTTGGATACCTTGCCCCAGATCACACAGCTCATAATGAGCAGAGCCAAGATTTGGGACCCAGGTCTTCTGGCCACTCACTCCCCCACAGCTGCCTCTCATTGTGGGGTCAGCAAGGAGGCATGTAAGAATGCTGTGGAGGGGGAGGCGTGGTTACCTGTCATTTAAATCAAGCAAAGTCACTTGCTATTGTTCTCTTAACATAAACTAAAGAAACAAATGCCCAACAAAACCTTGACTGGGGGTAATAAGCAAGAGATAAAGTGAGAAATCGTGGGTTTCAAAGATTGGGAACAATTACTAAATAGAATAACTAGATCATAAATGCAGAGAATTGTAGAGATTACCTTCCACTCCAACCTCCTTATCTTATAGATGCAAAAAACAGACTAGAATAAAGTCATGGCTAGTCTTGGATCTCCTTACTCAGTCCACTGTAGTTTCCTCTACACAGTCACGAGTCACTTAACAGGGATACATTCTGAGAAATGCGTCATTAGGTGATTTTGTCATTGTGTGAACATCACAGAGTGTACTTACACAAACCTAGATGGGATAGCCTACTACACACCTAGGTTCTATGGTACTAATCTTATCGGACCACTGTGGTGCGTCATTGACCAAAATGTCATTATACAGCACATGACTATACTACATTTTATCCTTTCATTTTATTTCTTTTTCAAGTGTAAGAGTTTTAGCACATCTATTTCTTTTGTTTTTTTTATTGTGGTAACATTGGTTTATAACATTGTATAAATTTCAGGTGTACATCATTATACTTCTATTTCTGCATAGATTACACCATGTTTACCACCCAAATACTAATTACAATCTATCACCACACACATGTAGCATGTCTATTTCTAAAGGCAACTAAATATTTTATTAAAACTTCATTTATAAAAGATATCACATAATATTGATGTAAATTACTCTAAAATAACTTCAAGTAAAAAGGAAAAACACATTTAAGTACTAACAAGGTAGCAAAGGATAAATCAGTAAGAAAGAGAGTAAAGAAAATGTTATCCAGGTATAGCTATTACCTATTATTATGGGTTTAATTGTTTTCCTTCAAAAAAGATACACTAGAGTCCCAACCCCCAGTGCTTCCGAATGTGACCTTATTTGGAGATGTACAGAGGGAATCAAGCTGTGGTCACATAATGAGGCCACTAGGGTGGGTCCTAATCCAGTATGACTGGAGTCCTTACAAAAGGGAAATTTGGACACTGAGATAGACATGCAAAGAGGGAAGAAACACAGGGAGAAAAGGAGAGAGACCTGGAACAGATCCTTCCCTACAGCTCTCAGAAGAAGCCAACCCTGCTGCCATCTTGATTTCAGACTTCTAACCTTCTAACCTTTCTAGAACTGTGGAACAAATTTCTGTTGTTCAAGCCACTCAGTTTGTGGTCCTTTGTTATAGCAGCCCCCAAAAACTAACTCACCAGTACTAACTTGTAAATGATTTAAAAAAACTAAAAATCTGTACTTATAGTATTTTTTAGGCTTTAGAAACAGAGGTATGTGAAATTACTTATTAGGGATTAGTTACAATTAATTTGTGTTGAAACCAAATCCATGAAACAAGCGCAAACACTTACTTCACTTCTGAGGAGTTGCTCTGCTTTGCTTCTATTCATATTTCTGCAATACCATCTGAACAGAAAAAGACAGATTTAAGGCAGGTTTTTTAAAATTATTTTTTATTCTTTTTAACAATTTAAAAAAGGTAATATTGCTCATCAATAACAAATACAATAAAATCACTCAATCTCAATAATCAATAAGGTATCACTCACAATCTCAATAATATAGACAACCACGTTTGTAACATTTGAGTGTATATACTTCCAGACTTTTTCTAGCCATATTTTTATGAAGACACGTATATATGTATTCTTATTTTTTTTATCAAAGTGTAATCAAACTATACTTGTTGAATTTTTCCTATATGTAAACAACAGACATCTTTACAAAGCAATGTAGTTCTAGGCATCATGGTATGGATGTGCCATAATTTATTTAAGCAATTCTTCATTATTTAACATAAAAATCATTTCCAATTTTTCACTGTTATAACAATAGCAAGAATGAATTTTACTCCACAGACTCAAACATGCAGGAAATGTCACTTTACACTACTGTCTTTAATTCAGATTAAATCTTATCCTAAGCCCTGATCCGACCAATAGGCAGCAGATTTCATCTCAAGTCATTATGGAGGCTCCCCCATTGAATTTCACGAAGGTCCCAAGTGACAAAAGAAACAGAGCAAAACAGAAGAGCAGGCCTCCTGGGTCTTCCAGACTTACTGGTTCTAGCACAGCCCCAAGCTCTGGCGGTCACTTGAGGCTCTACTGTAGGAATCCCGCCACGGCCAAGCTGCGCCACCCACCCTCCCACCAGGTCCTACCACCACTCTGTGCCACGCCCCCAAGGCCCTGCAGATCCGTGCCCCTTTTTAATCCTGGGGAACTCTTTCCCAGGGAAAGATGGATGCTGCCACCTCATCCTCAGAGGTACTCCCCCCCTCTGCTTCCCCCAGCCCAATCTCTCCATGAGAGTATAAACCAAAGAACACGGACTCAGACTGCTTTCTTGGGCCTTCAGTTTTAAACTTGTTTTGTTTTGATTTTGGTTTTGGTTTGTTTGTTTTAGATGCCCTTTTGTGGGCAGAGAACCCTACCCATCACAGTCATATTTCCTGAGGCTTCCAATATTATGAAACCAGCTTGGCCCCTCTGAACATTTGAATTTTCCACCCCTGGTCCAGCCTTTTATAAAAGAACCAGCACCTGCTTTTGGCCCAGCAAACACCCAGAGACAAGCGAACACAAAGGCCTTCCCTGATTGAGGAAGGGAAGAACACAAAGAACAAACTACAATACGAGATCTTTTTTTGTCTGGATTCTTTTATGCAGTTGTATCGGCCAAACACAAATTACAATCTCAATACAAGCTGATGATTGTTATTTTATTTGGAGCCAGATGTGATTAACCAGGCCTCAGAATTGTGGGCATTAAGATCTCACTGCTGTGGACCCCACTTTACGAACGGAGACCAAGTTCAGCAAAATTGCAACTCTGATCTGCATGCAATTGAGATCTGAAGGCAATTGAGAAATATAATAAATGAGGAGAACAGAATGGATTCTGTCCCAAAAGCTTTTCCACTGATACAAGAAACACTTGTCAGGATGCCAAATCTAGTTATAAAAATTAATTAAGGCAAGGTAACTGGAGATCTCATTATGCATTATAAATCAACAGGACCTGAAAGATTAAAAAAAAATCTCTTTATTAATAAAAGAAGATCCAACCCCACATCTTCACAGCAAGACTAAACAATGGAGGTTTAGTCTCACGTTCAGATGCAAGAAATCAGTAAAGCTAAATGGTGGCTCTCTAGAGGAAATTAGATACAAGATACTCAGAGAAAGAAAGAGGGCCTTCTGTCACCTGGTAGATTCAAGCTCCTGGGAAGGGATAAAGGAAATAAGGAAAGAAAAGGAACTCACTGCACAAAGGGCAGGTTCTTCGAAATCCTGTTCCGAGGGGACACTTACATGGCATTTGCAGATTCCGCAGAAAGAATGTCTTCCCTCCTTTATAAGATATAAACTCAGACCTTTCAGGGTATGTTGAAGGAAGGAAAGGAGGAAGGAGTGATGAACAAATTAACAGATGAATCAACTAGCGGTGAGTATTTCCTAATGGTTCTTCGTGGCTTCTGTCCCTCTTCTATGATGCCCAGCACCAGGTGAGAAGGGAAAGACAACAGTGGCTCTGCTTAAATCACCCTATCAGGAAGAACCACACCCACGGGTAAGATGTGAAGGAGCCCACATGGTGCCACACAGATGCCAGCCCACGGACATCTCTCACAAGCCCATCACAGAAATGCCTCTGTTAGAGGCTAGTAAGCTCCTCTGGATGAAGGAACTATACATCTACAAAGAATGCGCAGGTTTGTAAGTAACCTGTCGAGCGATATCGACAGTGAGAACATATCTCAGTGAGAACACTGAGAACAGGTTGTTCTTAGATATCAAAACCCTAATGTGAATGAGGTTTTCAGATTGGCTAAGTCACTTCAGAACACTCCAGAGGAATAGGACTTCACAGTGGTGTCTGAATAGAGTGGAAAAAAAGATTTGGGGACACTCAGTCCTTTCTGGAAAGGTCAGATCCTGGCCAAGCATCTTGGAGAGTGTGGGCTGGATAAATTGTAAAAAGACAACAGATATAGGGGCCGGCCCTGTGGCTTAGCGGTTAAGTGCGCGCATTCCGCTGCTGGCGGCCCGGGTTCAGATCCTGGGTGCACACCGACGCACCGCTTCTCCGGCCATGCTGAGGCCGCGGCGCACATACAGCAACTAGAAGGATGTGCAGCTATGACATACAACTATCTACTGGGGCTCTGGGGGAAAAAAAAGGAGGAGGATTGGCAATAGCTGTTAGCTCAGAGCCGGTCTTCCTCAGCAAAAAGAGGAGGATTGGCATGGATGTTAGCTCAGGGCTGATCTTCCTCTCACACACACACACACACACACACACACACACACAAAAGACAAGAGGTATAAATGAAGGAAAAATAGAAAACAACCAACCAACCAACCAGCTATAAGTCTTTGCAGTTCTCTGATTTGGCCCTCGCCTCCCACACCACCCACTCAAAGCCTTATTCTAGACATTTTCCTGTTCTAAGGGCCCTTTAATTTCTGTCACCTTCTTCCTTTAACATCTTTCCATCAAGAACATCTTATTGACCATCACAATGAACCCACTTTCTTTCCTGCAGCAGTTCCTCTGCTCCTCTCCTCCCCAAACTGTGACCTGGGTGTGGACGTCAGAACTGATAGCCCTGGGAGCTGCAGGCCTGGCCATCCTGAATCCAGCCCAGTGGACAGTCTGTTGCCTGGGACTCCTGCTAGGCCCAAACAAACAGCAGACGAGCTTTTGATTCAACAACAGGCTTTGTAACCCTAGGGACATTTAAGATGTGTTATAGGATGGGCTGTAGCAAAAAACAACACAAACCATGGAATGGGAAGACAGCAGAAGAGAGGCACTCTGACCGTCCACAGTGGGAACAGGTTTCCCCTTTCTCATCTAGCACAGTGCCATATGGAATCCCCGACCACTGGGCAGATGGTGGAGGGGACCCCCCGCTGGAGACCGTACACAGCAAGTAAATTCACTTAATCACGGAGAAGAGGAAGGGAGTCTCTCAGAAGAGAGAAAATTTCCAAACTAAGATATATCCAAAAAACTCATGGCAATGAATCATAACCTTCATAAAATTCTTATTCGTAATCCCATGAGTCATAAGTGGCGTTCTCAAATTTAGATAAGGATTATTTGATTTCCAAGCACACCCCTCCCCAAATTATCAGTTAGTTCTCAGATCACTTTAAAATCAGGTCCAAGGGCCGGCCCCGTGGCTTAGCGGTTAAGTGTGTGCGCTCCGCTGCTGGCAGCCCGGGTTCGGATCCCGGGCACGCACCGACGCACCGCTTCTCCGGTCACAATGAGGCCGCGTCCCACGTATAGCAACTAGAAGGCTGTGCAACTATGACATACAACTATCTACTGGGGCTTTGGGGGAAAAAAATAAAATAAATAAAAATTTAAAAAGTAAGGTGGCAAATGTCAGAACAGTCTGGCCTGATTTGCAATGTGTCCCTTATAAAAAAAAAAAAAAATCAGGTCCAAGTTTTCACCTTTTAGCGTCTTCCCTAAATCTAAGGATTTTGCTACATTTTCCTAAAATTTAAGAACAGAAACACTATTTTATTTACATTTTTTTAATACTCTCACCTACTTCTAAAACAACTTTGAGGGATCACACCACTGAGTGCTGTGACTTTTGAACCTATTAATCCTTTTCTAGATTTTAAGGTACACTCATGTTACAGGAAGTGACATGGACAGAAGAAACAGCTTTTTGTTGTTGGTGGCGGCGGTGGTGTTTTTTAAAGAAGTGAACGAAGCATCAATACACCATCTCAGAATGACCACAAAAGAGTATTTGGTATATATGAGCCTCTCATTAAAACCTGGCCATGCACTGCTAGTGGGTATATAAATAGTATGCCCATTACTTTCTCCGGAAAGCAATCTGACACCATGCATTAGCAGTCTTAACAAGTTCATAACTATCCTTTAGCCCAGTACGTAAATTTTTAGAGATCTAGCTTAAGACTAGATAAGCAGGAAGAATCCCAGTTATTTTTACATAGCAAAGATGCCTAAACAACATAATGTCACACAAATAAGGAAATGATTATATGTTATTGCACATCCACGAGCCATATGCCTGGTTGTACCCCCAGGGCCTCGCACAGTGCCTTATACATGCTAAGATCTCATTAAATATTTGATGAATTTATGACTGAATGAAATATAATGCAGTTATGAAAATGTTTTCAAAGAATACTTAATAGCATAAGGAAATACACTCATAGTATACTGTTAAGTGGAATAAATAGGATATAAAACAGTATATACAGCATGATTCTATTTTTTTAAAAAATAGTAAAAATATTGAAAGAAGATATACTAACATAGAGGTCAACTCTAGTTGATTTATAAGTAATTTTTTTATTAATATTTTTCATACTTGCAAACAATTTAAAAATAATCATATATTGATTTTTTTTTTCCTCCCCAAAGCCCCAGTACATGATTGTATATCCTAGTTGTAAGTCATTCTAGTTCTTCTATGTGAGCCGCCACCACAGCATGGCAACTGACAGACAGGTGGTGTGTTTCCACAACTGGGAAGCAAACCTGGGCCACCGAAGCAGTGAACACCAAACTTTAACCATTAGGCCATCAAGGCTGGTTCATATATTGTTATTATAGTTAGAAAAAAGAAACAATCAAACACAATTTTTTAAAGGCCACTCTGAGAAACTGTATTACAATTTCTTGAATAAATGAACAATGATTGGTATTTCAAAGTCAGCTAAGATGTGATTTGGTTAAAATCAATTCAGTTGTATTTGCTTGTGTAACTCCATTCACATATAGTACCTTCAGGTAAAGTGTATTATAGAAACTAATTCTCACAACATCTTTTACCACCTTAGACAACTGAGTTAAGAGTATGTCAGTACCACCTTCTAAAGATAATGAAAGATATCCATTAATCTCCAAAATGCTTTACATAATTAGGAAAGTGAAAACATTTTCTGGTTCTTCAAATTCACAAAATACCCATTTACTTACTCATATTGATCCAAGTTGTTTGATTTCTTTCCTGTTACATAATTACTTGGGATATATCCTTCACTCCTAGAAATAAGAAAAATACTTTAGGTAAACTGAAATTATTTTACTGAGAGGTTACTGAAAGAAAAATTATTGCCTTTCTGAAATAATTAGAGCATAATATTGCCGAAAGCTTATAAGAAAGACTAGTTGACTCCCAGTAATTCAATATACCTATAGCATTCAATGCTTTACAAAATACTTCCTCATTTGATCCTCACAAAAATTCTGAGGTAGGCAGGCATTATTGTATCCACTTTCTGGTGGGGAAACCAAGGCTTAGAAAGATTAAGAGACTTTCTCAAGGTCCCAAAGCTAGCTAGCCACAGGGCCAGAACTTGTGATTAGGTTCAGAGCCCTTCCTAATATCCCTGATGCTTCTCTTAAATTCACAATTTCTTGGGATGTTTTAAGGAAACTACTACTTCAGAAAAGTTAAAGTGCTTTTGCATAAAAACACCCATCCCTCCAACACCTCATGTGCAGCATTATTTCACAGAGGGTAGTCCCTGACCTCCACATCAGCATCATCTGGGTTGCTTGTTAAAAAGGCAAATTCTTGGGTCATACTCCCAGAGATGTAATTGAGAAGACCTATGTGGGGCCAAGGACTCTTCAATTTCACCCCATATGACTCTATGCACACTGTAGTTTAAGAAGCACTCACAGCAGGTAGAATCTTGGTAGGAGCCAAGATTTTTAGCATAAAAGAGATATACGTATAGAACAAAAAGATCGAGTAAAAACCTTGTAATCTTAAATTTGAACTTGAACTATGAGTAAGAACTCATAATACACACAAACACACACACACACACGAGTGCATATATGTAGCTCTGTTGCACTGAGAAAGGCCCAGAAGCAAAGACAATCCAGTAGCAATTAAAATCCTAGCACCCCAACTGTTGTCCCTAAATACTATTTCCGACTAAAAGGAGCCAGTACACCTCAGAAAACTGGCAAATTGCAGGTTTGGCCAGGAAAAACACAAGATGAACTTGAGCCATTTTGTTTTACCCAGAAAGAAGGAAACTAAGAAAGACTAAAGGGGTCCCCAACCAAAAGCAGCTACCACTGACCTAAGACGGGACAATTCAAGCAAAAAGAATAATGACTGCAATGAATTAAAAACAACTATATAAGCATCCATAATAACACTAAAAAAAATTATTGGTTACCACTGTTATCACTAGAGGAAGCTCAGTCATCAACTTTTTATTCTGAAAATTGGTAAAAGGAAAAAATCAAAAATTTATCTGGCCTTTCCTGCATGAACTAAATGAACTGGTTGATGAGGCAGTTCTTCACTAGAAAATTAATAAACTAAATAATAATAATTAATAATAATAAATGCACATGGAACAACAGAATTAGAAAACCACTTTGCAATCTCTAATGAAATAATGAATCTAAGCAATAATCATTAATGGATGCTAAAATCATTAGGTGAAACATTGATGAATAACTTATGATGGAGGAATAGGGTTGACACCTGAAACACTGAGCAATCTTCACATCATTATAAGTGGGACAACCAGATATCAACTTCTAATGTGATCAAGCCTCTTGATTACAGTTTACAGGAAATATAGGACATAGAGACATATTAAATGACACCACATGGAAGCAATTAGCTTAATCTAGATTGTGGCTCATTTTACAGAGTAAATCATCAATAAATCAAAAATGAAAAAAAAGGATGGGGACTGTTGCAGAATAAAAGAGAGACATAAGAGACATAGCCAAAATGCAATGTGTGGACCTTGTTTTAATCTTGAGAAGACTATAAAAATACATATTAGAGCTAATCAGAGGACACTCAAATTACATACATTCACACATCACTTAACGACGGGGATACGTTCTGAGAAATACGTCGTCAGGTGATTTCGTCATTGTACAAACATCACAGAGTGTACTTACACACAGCTAGATGGTATAACCTACCACACACCTGGGCTATATGGTACTAATCTTATGGGATCGCCATTGTATACATGGTCCATCACTGACCAAAACGTCATTATGCAGCACATGACTGTAACTGGCATAATCCTTAGACCTGGGCCAGAGGGTCCTCTGCTCTGACCTCACACTTTCGAGAACATGCTAGAGCCCATGTTCCCTCAGCCCTCTTCTAGTTCCCTGGGTAACTAGGTCCCCAGAATTCTCTGTCCATTGCCATGGCCTACATGGGCCTTTCCACTGGGTTCATCCTCTGAAAAGCAAATTATGCTGCTCATGTGCACCCCCTTCCAACGCAGGTCCAAGAGGTGATGGAGTTGGGAGGTAGCTTTTGCAAGCAATGTGGACAAAGCTTGGATGACAGCTGTGAGATCAAGCCTGGGGCAGAAGGGAAGAGAGAAGAGAGGCACCCTGGGGGGTCAGCACTCTGTGCACTGTCCCATTCTGGCATGGAACTCTAATTCAAGCCTTGCCCTGTCATTTTGAAGGTATGTTTGTCAAGATCGAGGATAAACTACATTTTATTTACAAATGTGTTAGCTTGACTTACAACTTCTAAATACTTAGATATACGATATGTGGGCTTCATTCACACTCTTCTTCCAGTCCCAATGTATGACTTAATGTCATATATTAAGTATGACAACGACACAGCAGTTGTTTAAAAAATATTTTTAGCAGTTAGACTTAGGGGTGAAATGATATGATAATTTGAATTTACTTTTAAATAGGCTAGAAAAAAACAAGTGGGAGGACTGGTAAATCAAGACTGGCAAACTGCTGGTAATTTTTAAAGTCAAGCGACAAGAGGCTCCATTATGCTATTATGTATTTTTGTGGATGTTTGAAAACTTCTATAATAAAAAATGAAAATCAATCTTCTACAGTGTTTGGCAAAGAAAAGCAGTGACAACCTCCTTGTAAACATAGATAGAATAAAAGGTTAAGAGTTCTCAAGAAGGTAATAATGCACAGCAAACCAGCATGCAGGAGATGTACCCTTGCTGAGAAATGAGCAGAAAAGGACCCTGCCTAACCCAGAGGCTTCCATTGCTTCTTCAGAAGTGGACAGAGAAATAGAGAATTGGAATTGGGGATGGGGCAGAGAGGTGAGAAAGCAGATTTGGAGGGAGGGTATGCTCTGGCCAGGACAAAAAGTCCTCCTCTTCTTATCCATGGGAACTTAGAATATAAACAGGATTATATTTCAGAGGTAAGCAGAGGATATAGGATTTCTTAATGAAGTCTAAAAGATACTCATCCCCTGTGTTTATCCACATTTACCCATTATTTATCCATCATAACGGCTGAAAGGACTGTTCTCTTTAAATCCTAAATTATCTTGTATAAATCATGCTTATTTTTAAATTTCTTGCATGTATGTGTATGTATATATTTTATACATACACACATATGTACATACATATAGACACCCACACATATATTCTCCCTCTCTCTCTCTCAGAAAAATCTAAGATTACTTACTTACCTCAGGGGGGAAAAACAATAAAATTTAATTTCCTCCAAAGTCAAAATAATCCAATTACGCATGGACCAGAAAGAGACCACTGTAATGTAATCTAATTTCTAGAAAGAAGTAGTTGATCCATTTACATTTATTGAGCCACTACTAAGAATACATTGTGTTGCTGCGAAGTAATAATGTGTACTTTCATTTATGGCCTGCTGAATTAGTCTCATTACATGATAGTTGCAGATTATCCTCTTCTCACTCAGCACTCAACTCCCACCTACCCGCTGTGTGTCACACACAGAGAGGGAATACTTACCCATATTTATCTCTTGCTCTCCACCAATGAACATCATTCTTCTCTAATATGATGTACTCTTGGCCTCTCTCTAATCTGAGATCATGTGCTTCTGTGGCTTGGAAATCATACATAGCTACAACTATTTCTTCACTATTTTCTTCTTCTTCAATTGGAATTGGTGGGGGAGGCCTTCGCTAAGAAAAGGGTATAAGACGTGAAAGTTTAGTCTTCTGTTTGAAACTGATGATTCACACATCACCACAGAATAAAGAAGAAACCTCAAGTCTACCTAATACAATCTGGTGAACCCTCCCACGACTTTGATGATGTTGATGCTACCAGACCTCTCATGGGTTTCAGAATATAGGACATGAGCAAAGCTGTCTTTAAACATCAAAAGGCTTCTGGTCAGTGTCAGGGCTAGCTTTCCCGGGAGAGGTAAGGGTAATATGTGAGTAGAAACCAGGAGGACTAAAGTGGACCCACCATTCAGATGGCCTGCAATGGGGGAAAAGCACACTGTGGAGTAGAGTCTTTTATCAGGTCTCTTCCTACTCAAAGGAATCTGCACTTCTTTGTGCCTACTATATGCAAGGCACACACTTAGTACCTAACACACTTTTTCTCTCAATACTGATCCCATGAAGCGGTGTGTATAATTCCCATTTTACAAATGAGGAAACAATGGTTTAAGTAACCCACCCAAAGTCACTCATATCAGATTCACGTTGGATCAAGTTCTATCTGGGTCCAAAGCACCTGTTTTCCACCATATCCCATTCTTCAAAGGCATATCATTAAATCACTGAAGTCATTCCTTTGTCATAATACTGTGGTCTTAATACTGAAATATTCCTTTAAAGTCTCACACCTCTTATACAATTCTTGAAGCCAAAATACAGGCTAAATGCCAGATGATAATAGGGCCCCCAATTATATATCATACAATTAAATTAATATTATTTGACACCAAGAAAAAAAATCAAATAAGCCATAGCATATCTGTTTCTGATATGACCTTGGGGGCAGGGGTAGGGAACAGCATCACACAAATGAATATAAACACACTCAAACTGCAAATGCTTCCAAAAGTTAAAGACCACCTACCTTCTTTGTTTCTGGTGCTGGAGGTAGTGCTTTTCTTATACCTGAAAATGACAACAACAAAAACAGGTCAAAATGCCACCTACCAATGATTGACAGTTTTAAGGAAAAGTGAAAATGAACACACAGACAAGAAGTCCACTCTGACTCTCTCGCTCTGGTGCATGTTGCTTGTATCAATATTTTAGAACAGAATTTTTAAAATGCTATTAAAGCTGGTTTGTATTTCTGCCTTCCTGAACAGACTGCAAATGTCACAGGGACTGGGGCCATGTCTTATTCTTTATAAACAAGTGGGACTACATCAAACTAAAAAGCTTCTGCTCAGCAAAGGAAACCAACAAAATGAAAAGGGAGCCTACAGAAGGGGAGAAAATATTTGCAAACCACATATCTGATAAGGGGTTAATACCCAAAATATACAAGGAACTCATACAACTCAACAGCAAAAAAAATAAATAGTTCCATTAAAAATGGGCAAAGAGTGGAGGAAGATAGGCATGGATGTTAGCCCAGGGCCGGTCTTTCTCAGCAAAAAAAAAAAA